GTGAAAATGAGACAACAGTGGAGCTTAGTATCAATAATGCCCACCCAGAGGCTGCTTCATACGATGATGTTTCAACGCTCGGTTCAACGACAAGGCGGTGATGTTTCAACGCTCCGTTCAATGACAAGGGGGGACACAGACAGAGAGAGAAAGAGAAAGAGAGAGAGAGAGAGAGAGAGAGAGAGAGAGAGAGAGAGAGAGAGAGAGAGAGAGAGAGAGAGAGAGAAAGGGGACAATTGGTAAAAGTACGCCCACAGGTAACACAAAAAAAAAATCTTTGACCTATGTCGTACATCTTTTTTGGCCACAACACATATAACGAAAAAAAAACTCTTTCTTTTTTGCCATCCATGTTAAATACTGCATCTCTACAACTTCTACTATTTTGTCCCCCCATCCTGGATTCTCGCGATCTTCACTCTTCTCGCCGCGGGCGGAGCCGCGGCGGGTCCACTTGTTTTCTTTATACAGAACTCAGGTCTGGAGCAGCATGCCACTCCAGGGAAGGGTAAGCACAGATCCAGAGAGCCTCAGGTACACCCACCCCAGGGTTACCTTGCCACATTATTAAGGGGCGGGAGGGGAGGGGTGTTGCCTTCGCACACCCGCCCCATATACTATTCCTGAGGCTCCATCTACTTGGCTCTGGGTCAACACACCGCAAAGAAAAAGAAGGAAAAGAAAACGGAATGAATTCGTCGCGGGCGAGCTGGGTGAACCTGCCTAGGGGGCAACTCGCCTGGGGTACCCAGGTGACAAAAAAAGGGGGGGTTATGTTATTCTTTTTTTTTTTTTTTTTTTTTTTTTTAAACAGGTCCTTATGGCCCTGGCTCCATTTCCATTCTGGGTAGCATCAGTCCGGTTCCTATTCCACCGGCAAGTCAGGAAAACATTACAACATAGAACACCCACACGCTTCATTCCGTCTGGCCGAAGGAACCCTGATCAGCATTGATTACTCCAGCGACATGGAGGATTGACTGTCAGCTTGCCCTGCTTGCACCTTTCCTCTCAGGACAACTATTAGAACCTGTCAGATAAAACATGCAAAATAAGAAAGGTCTGAGAAGCTACAACTGCTGCCAATGCTGTCTAAACCCTAAGCCCCGCAAATAAGCGTTGTGAAATCCTTAGCATTCTAACCCATGCTGTCTTGTTTCTGTCCAAACCCTCAGCCCTAAACCCTAAACCCTAAAGAAGGTTGATCCTCTTCCATGTGTTCCATGTGAAACATCGACTGCCGCCTGTCACGCATGTATCTTGGGTGCTCTTCTAGGCCCAGATTGGGGCTGGTTCCTCAAGTACCTGGGTGTTCTGCTGGGATGCCAACTTGACTGAATTATGCCATTCTTTCCATCGTAAAACGTGCCCAATCAGCCATGCCACTTTGTCACCTACCAACCAGATCCGCTTGAATTTAGCCAGTGTCACCTGTTCTGTCTCTGGATTGTTCTGCACCCAGAGTTTAACCTTTCTCCAATGACAGAGGATTTCCGCTTCAATCATCTCTTTGGTTGCTGCGCACACTTTCTCCCGTGGGTTCTTCGTGCCGTCCAGAGTTCTGCTGCATCTTTCATTCCATATGGCCCATAGTGTGACCTTGCGTACCATCCCGAACCACATTTTCTCTGATTGGCCGAAGTTAGAGGGTAAATTAGTCCAAACGAGCAGTTGAAGGGGGTGCTCTGGAAAGGGAGACGAGAACAAACTATCCCATAGTGCTGCTGCTCTTGCCCAATAATCTGTGGCTTCTTTACAGTTAATTAGGCAATGTATCACGTCTTCCTGTTCTTGGTCTGAGCAGACTGCACAGATATCAGAGCTGGTTGGATCGTTCTTTCTTCTTCTGACATGCAACCATTGATTGACCGGTAGAGCAACATATGTTATGAGCCACTGCATGCTTCTGATTTTTATAGGCCTTATTGTTTTATATCTTTTCCATGGGATTTTTGCTATCTGGTCTGCCTCCGAACCTCCATCTTCCTTTGATTGTTGGGTCTGGGTCCTTCGTTTTTAACAGCATCTTGTAACCTAGCTTGACTGTGTACTCATATACTGGAATTGGTGGTTTGGTGGTTCTAGTTCGGTCGGGAGGCCAAGCCCACTCCGAGGGATCAAACTCGAGGTCTTGAATTGCCGTCCCTGTTTGAAATATCTGTTTTGGCCAGAGTCCTAGTGTTCTTATTTTACAGAGAGTAAACGCATTGAGCTCTACTCTTCCAGGGTCGATGTTCTGAATGTACAGTTCATCTGGCTTGGTCTTCAGGATCGGGAAGGATGTGAAAACGTCCCATGGCCCTGGACCTGATATTCGATGGGAAAATTGGTAAGCCCTTTCAGGGGAGGAGTCCTGGATTAGGATCCCCCACTCCCCGACTTCCCACGTGAAATCCTCCTTTAGTAGCTCTGCCCAGCCCCCAGGAATACTCTGTATAATCTTCTCTACTGCAGCGCTCCTCCTGAGTGCTGCGGCCGAATCCTGAAGACTACTCGTGTGCCTACTGAACTACCTACCCGTGAAGTGCATGGGAACTTCCTATGTACTACGGGTGTGCCTCCTGAGCCTGCCGAAGGGAGGCAGGGGCTGCAGCTGCAGCTCCTGCTCAAACTCGTGAGGAACAGGCTATTTCTGGCCTGTTCCGTTCAGCGCTAGGCAGTAGTGGCAGCGCTAGCTGTAGTCTTCGGCGCTGGGCGCCATAGCTRTAGCTGTAGTCTTCAGCGCTGGGCGCTGGTAGGTGGTAGATCGCAGAGTGGGAGAGAGAGACTGGCGGAGGCCAGTGTTACTTACCTGTGGCGCCATCGCTCCAGCTCCATCTTCGTGGTACCTGCATCAAGGCGCCAACTTCACAGGTTAGTACTGGACACAGAGAGAGAGAGAGTTCTTCTTCTTCCTCTTCTAAGTCCACCTTCTCTTCTCACCCTCTTGCCACCTGACTTCTCAGACTACGACAGAGAGAGACAGAGTTGTGACTTGAGACTTGACGACATTGGATCAGCAGTGCCATGTCACAGTGCCACGTCAGCAGTGCCACGTCACAGTGCCAGATCAGCAGTGCCATGTCAACAGTGCCAGGTCACATTGCCACGTCAGACATAGTGCCACGACAGCAGTGCCACGTAAGACACAATGCCACGTCAACAGTGACGTCCGACACAGTGCCACGTCAGCAGTGCCACGTCAGCAGTACGACGTCAGAGAGAGTGCCACGTCAGCAGTGCCACATCAGCAGTGCCACGTAAGCAGCAGTGCCACGTCAGCAACATGACGGGCCTGCTAGGCCAACTGGCCAATGAGACCATTGCCGCCTACAAGCAGCGTTGCCTGGCTCAGATAGAGGCTGAGGAACAACGCCTGCTGGCAGCCGAGGCTGCCCGCGTACAGTCTGAAGAGGCAGCAGAAGCAGAACAGCTGCGGCTACAGGCCGATGCAGACGCAGATGCCCAGGCTCGCCGCAAGGAAGCCCAGGATCTGCTGCAGCGGCATGAAGCCAACAGCATCGACAGACTCAAGTACTGGCATTTTGAACCGAACGGCGACGAGGCAACACCGGAAGAGAAGCACAAGGAGTTCCTCTCCAAACTCGTGACGCGGTTGTTGTATGCTTGCAACTACSAACGGTCAGAGTTGGAGAGACAGTACCGGGACCTGACGCAACARCATCAKRAGTTGGCRACGCTCCGCCGCACMGTGYARGGCCACGAGGATGCAACTCGGGCACTSAATGCCCGATTGTTGGACCTGGAACAGGCTGTACCAGGACCACCTGCTGGGGCTTCCAGCAGTGCACCCTCTAGCCGCCAACTGGAGGACCGCGTTGACCACGTAGTGGCAATGCTCGGCGACATCAGCACTTTCGCTGCGCCTACCACCACCATCAACAGTCAGCTGCATACATTGAAGACCGACGTCCAGCAGCTGGAGACGACGAACACAAATGGCAATCCGAAGATGTATAAGATGCCAACGTTCACTCTGGAGAAGTTCGACGACTACACGCAGCAGGATCCGGTCCTCTGGTGGGAAGCATTCACAACGCAACTGAGGATTCTGCCCGTAGACAAGCATGCGTACATCGGCGCCCTTTTCCTGAACTCAAAGGGCGGATGCCAGACCTCGTTGACCCACCTGGCAACCTCCCACGGCGTCGACGTACCAGACTTGAAGGACGTAATCACATGGGAGGAACTGACACGACTGTGGAAGAAGCGGTTTATCGTCGACGACGCGCCGACACTCGCCATCAATCGACTGTTCACCATGTCACAGGGCAACACAGCAACACGGGACTGGCTCACGGAGTGGCAGAAGATTGCGGTTGTGCCCAATCTGAACCTACCATTCGAGCATCTACGCCATGAGTTCTACAACAGGTCCTGTGCTGCATTGAGCCAGGCTCTTGGTGATCGCGAGCAGTACTCAACCTTCGCGGAGATTATTGACAAAGCGAGGGAGACCATCAAGACCAACAGGTCAGCTGCACACGAGAAATCAACATCATGGTAGCCGACCTATGTGGAGAAGGTACGAACTGGTCCGCGACAACAGCACTTCCTTGCAGTCCAGCAGGACAGTGGAGATAACCCAGCAGCCACTCCAGCATCAAGTGACGGAGATCAGGTGGCTGCTGTCCAGCCGCGAAGCAACAACAAGTCCCGCAACAATGGGAAGGCGAAATCCGCATCGCAAGCCGGAAATGGACAGCCAATACAAGTTCCATGGGTCAAGTTCGGCTTGACCGAGGCGGAGTACAAAGTCCGCGGCCGCTACGGCAGCTGCTATTGGTGCAATAGCACCAAGCACAAGACCTTCCTGTGCCAAGATCAGGGCAAGGAGGATGTGCGACCCCGCCTCAGCTCGGGAAACTGAGCTCCGCGGAAGGTGAGGCGACTCCACCTTCTACTCCGCCAGATTCGGCCGCCTTGCTAGCGGCCTCTTGCACATCTGGGAAGGATGCGAATGTCGCAAGTCCTCGGTATACTTACGAGGATTATGCTGTCCACTTGGTTCCACCGCTGGACCAACCGCTCCACGTGCAACAGTCCACCGCATGCACGGTTTCATCACCATCGGCAGCCGATTCGGTTGCTTCGCCGCAATCTATCGTCGGGGATTCGACGTCATGGTCAAGACTTGATGAGCTCGACCCGCTGACGTTCACGGACTTTCAGTGGATGCCCGTTCCCTCGACCGGACGATTGCCGAAACCGCATTGCAACGTGCTTATGGCACAATTGCGGGACTACTTGCACACTGCAGTACCAGCTCCGTTGATGGACGCCG